CAGAATGCATTTGGGTGAAGATAAAAGGTGAAAGATGCTACTCCAATATAATGGTAGGGGTTTATTATAGGCCATCAGATCAGGAAGAGGAGATGGATGAGGCATATTTCAAGCAGGTGACAAGTCTATTCAAAAGCTATGGGATGGTACTGATGGGAGACTGCAATTTTTGAGATATCTGCTGGAAAAAACAATGCAGCCAAACATAAAATTTCAAGCCAGTTCCTAGCTTGTGTGGAGGACAACTTTCTATTCTAGAAAGTGGAGGATACAACTAGGTGATCATCTATCTTGGATCTTGTCCTTACCAATTACATCCTTCACCAACTGGTGGAGGATGTAAAGATGATGGGTAACTTGGAAGGAAACGATCATGATATGATCAAGGAGTTAATAGGTATGGTGTCATGGGAGGACAGATTGAAAGATGAAGGCACCCAGAAGGGCTGGGAGATTCTAATGGGCACAGTACTGGAAGCCCAACAAGAAACTGTCCTGACATGATAGAAGCATAAGAAGAATGGAAGAGATGAATGTAGCTGCACAAAGAGCTTCTAAAATACTTCAAATGCAAAAGGAAAGCATATATGCAATGGAAGAATGGTCACTCAGCAAGCCTAGCAGAAAATAGCTAGGCAAAATCAGGACAGTAAAGATAAAGAACAAGCCACACCTGGCAAAGAAGGGGCAGTATACTGTTTTGGGATGAAGATGAATCAATCATCCTATCAACCAAATGGAGAGTTCTTATCAACCATGTCAGAATAGCAGGAGTTTTTGAGAGAGTCTGTCCTGAGCCTGGTGCTGTTCAACATGTTTATTAATGATATGGATACTGACATAGAAAACTTCTTGAGCAAGTTTGCAGATGACAGAAAACTGGGAAGGATTGTGAACATGTTAGAGGATACAAGCTCAATTCAGAAGGATCTTGATTGGAAAGGCAGGCTAGAGATAACAGGATGAAGTTCAATGTGGACATATGCAAGGTGCTACACCTTGAGAGGAATAATCAAAAAGACAAATATAAAATGGATGACACCTGGCTAGATGGCAGCACTATGGAGAAGGATTTGGAAGTCTTCATAGACCACACGCTCAATATGGGTCTGCAGTGTGATGCAGCCACATAAAAGACAAATGTAGTTTTAGAATGCATCGACAGAAGCATTTAGGTGCAAGATATGGGAGGTAATAATGCATCTCTAGTCAGCACTAGTTAGGACTCATCTGGAGTACTGAGTGCAGTTCTAGGTTGCGCATTTTAAAAAGGATGTGGAGAAGTTAGACAGGGTCCCAAGGTGGGCAACAAAAATGAGCAAGGGCTTGGAAAGCAAGTCATATGAGGGGAGGCTGAAGGAGCTAGGCATGTTCAGTTTACAAAAAAGGTGCTTAAGAGAGGACATGATAGTAGTCTTCAAATACTTGAAGGGCTGCCATAAAGAAGAGGGAAAGTACCTTTTCTCTCCTGCTGTAGAGGAGAATGTAGACCAATGGCTTAAAGTTGTAGCAAACTAAGTTTAGACTGGATATCCAGAAAAACTTCTTCACTGTTAGAATAGTGAAATAGACTGCCTAGGGAAGTTGTGGATTCTCCATCACTGGAGGTGTTCAAGAAGCGGCTGGACAGCCACTGGTCGCGGATGATCTAGGCATAGCTATGCCAGTGTTCTAATATGGGTATATCCCATGCTTCTGGGCTCTTCTGGTTGCCCCTACCCGCTCTTTCTGCTAGATGTTTCAGGGTGTTATTAAGCCTTTCTCAGAGACATTGGGTTTGAGCTACAGCCAGGCCTGGGAACTTTGATTGGTGTGTGCCAAAACTCCTGCTGGGAGCAAAGCCACAGATACCTGGCTCGAGGGTCTTGCCGCTCCACTCAGGGTCAGGCCACTCACCATATACGGGGTCAGGAATTTTATACCATAGTCAGACTGATATGGACTGTGGGGTTTTTTGTCTTCCTCTGTAGCAGAGGGCATGGCCATCTACCTGGCATCTCTTGAGTGTGTATTAACCACATTTCACAGAAGCAGTACATTGGCTGCCATGGTTACCCTGCTTTACCTATGGCAGTTTAGGTGTTAAGTCTGTGTTGTGTTAGAATTGATGGTACTCTTATTTAGAGTTGATTAAGGATAATATAAGATGGCTTGAATAGGGATGATTCTGCCTTAGTTAGGAGCCTGGACTAGATAACCTCTGGAAGTCCCTTCCAGCCCTATTTCTCTATGATTCTCTGAAACATTACTTCTTTCTGTATTTGGCCTCAATGACTGACTATCCTACTGACCAGATAACTTGCCAATGGACTCCCAATGCCTAGAAATAATGTTTTCACTTTCTGCCTCCAACACAAATAACACGACTTTCACCTAACATCTGTTGTGGTACCACAGATGCACTTGTCCATCATTGCCTGATAACTCTCTGAAGAATGTTTTTGTTGTGCTAATAAGCTATTAATATCAGTCTCATAGTCCAATGAGGAGATCTCCTTTTGACTAGTGAGCCTCTTCTCTAGACTCCCATGAAGGGACACATAATGTAGCTTGTTTCATCATTAATTAAATGATATCATATGCATTCTGTGCCTTAATATCTGAAATAAAACACATCACAAATAGAAAAAAAGTTTCTTTATAACTTTTTCTCTACCTTCATCTCATGATAAAAATAACCATCTCATCATGGGGGTTTTCCTGCGGACTAATGACTCACTCTGTGTCACTGGCTATCACCGCTCCCAGGTGGTCACCAATCCTCAGTATTCAGTATGTGATCTATCCGATCTATCTATCTTAAACTTTTCAAAGGTGCCTTTCACAGGAATCTGTTATATTGCTATGATGGTACAGGGATGCTGGAAGGTTTGGAAAAAGAAATGTTTAATTTTTGTAGAAACAATTTAGAGCTCATAAAAATGCCAAATTGATGGCAGTGGATGATGATTAAATCTTCCAACACTGCCCAACCAATTCATCTTAAAGCTGACCCAAAAAGATAGGTCATTTTCCACATCCATTCAATTCTAGGCTTCTTTGTTGAGGCTGCCAACAAAGGTACCAATAAATGGAGGTGATTTTGTGAAGAGGAGACCTATTCATTAGGAACTGGACTGATACCAACAACTCATTTCACAGAGGCCACTGAAGAGCTGTCAGATGGTAACAACTTTCCTTCACTATCAAGGTAGGTCAGATTTAAGCCACTGACTAAAGCAAAAGGTTGCATCTGTATCCTATTATTAATCCCATGAACTATATGGGCTAACTGCTAGATTACACTATCTAATTTAGAAGTTAGTTCCGTTGAATCACAGGCAGAAAGGCATTCTAATCCTAATTTTACCATTAACTCTTTATGCAACCTTCAGCAAGTCATTTGCTGTGGCTCAGAATTGTTATGGATGATATCTTTTATTGAGTGAATTACATGGTTAGAATAGACTTAAACAAGGTTTGGGGTATCACAGTACTCTTCTTCAGGTCTCAGTCTTTCTGTGGCTCAATCTTTCTCACCTAAAAAAGAGGAGGGAAAATATTTCCAATCCTTGTTAAATGCTTTGTAAAGCACTATACTTTTATTATAGTAAGACAGTTATAAAAACTGACAGTAAAAGATAACTTCATAAATGAAACAAAAATTTATTCTGAAAGGCTTAAAGCTCTGATCCCACAAAACACTTATGTATAAGCTTAAATCTGTCCTCCTTTAGGAAAGTGTTTAAATATGTGCTTACAAGCTGTCTGGAATAGAGATAATTGTGGAATCACTGGCTAGGTTAGAAAATTCTCTCTCTCATTATGGTGTGCCATTATTGCTGTAATGTGAAAATGTTGGCAATGCAATGGCATAAATAGGGTGGGGCAAAAAGGGCAACTGCCTTGAGTGCTGGATTGGGGCTGAGGCAAAAAAAGGGGCTGCTGCTGCAACTGCAATCCTGGCAGGAACCAGAAATCTCTGCCGTCTCTGTGCTTGGGTGCCCAGCTGTGTCCCTGTGCTGTTGTGGCAATGTAACTTGCAGTTCTTCCTGTCAATAGATTTCTACGGTTTTCTCTACCTCCTCTCCCCATACCCAGCTTTTCTTCTATGTCTTAGGCCAGGGGTTGTCAACCAGGGATATGTGTACCCCTGGTAGTACTTGGGAAGGCCCTAGGGGTATGTGGCAGCGGTGCGAAGAAGTGGGGGCACTTCTGGTTTCATCGCCGGCGCTTCCAGTTTTGCCGCTGTGTATGGGGGACCCCCTCTCCACTCATCGATCAGCTGCTGGGGGACCCCCCCACTCCAGTCATCAACTGGCCTGGGGACTCCCTGATTCTTGACCAGCCACTGGGGGTACACCAACCAAAAAAGGTTGAAAACCCCTGACTTAGGCAAAGAATGCCTATGTCACTGCCAAACTCCAAAGTCCTTCTGGTATGTATTATAAGCAACTCCTTTCCCAGATCTGCTGTCTTTCTCTTTTCCACTGGTGCTCCACTGAACCCCATTTCCAGGTGCCCACTCCACCTGATTTACTTTGAACCACAATTCTACAGATTTCACAAGACACTTCTTCCACCTCTCTTAAGCACTTATCTCCAGCTCAATTATCATTCAACCTGACACCTGGCCCATGTTCCTGATCCACTTCTCCATTTCCTATATGTCTCCATCCAATCCCCACACCATCTCCTACTTATCCATCTATTTACCCTGCTAATCTGTTCTTTCCAGTACATCCTGGCAGTCAAGTCTTTCATTCCAATATATACTGAGATGGAATCTCATATAAAATGCTATCGCTGCAAATTAAGTTGGAAATGGGATGTCTCAAGTTCACTTGTTTCTTTTAGAAAGAGTAAAAACATCTACAAAGTTGTCATGTTAAATTAAAAATTGCCATGGTAGTAATCATGAACATGAATGTTGTGTTCCCATATATGGTCAGAAAAACAGTGCAGACCACAAATGCAGAGTATCCATGCAACTCTGAAAAACAAGAGCTGAACTGCTGTACCTATTTTCACAGTAGATGATATTGAGGTCCATATTTACGCGAGTAACAAACATGTGGCAGTCGATTCTGACTTCATTGATTGTAGGAGGTGGCAAAGCATGAGCAACAACTACAAGCCCCATGATTTGGCTGGGGACTGTCCTCCCATGGGACAGTGACACTCTGAGACGTAATCGGCCTGTTATATGAATCACCTGCAAAATAAACACAATGAAAGAAATCCCAGTCAATTCATGGTACTACTGTGACATCATTTTATTTAAAGGGCAGTGCTATTATTCTAAAGAACTCAACTTATCCAAAAATGGTATTTAGTAACATTCAAGATTAATATTAAGCTGATTAATATTAGCTGCCATAATGTCCTAAATGTTCTTATGGCAAGAAAGAAGAAAAGAACATAATAGCCAAATGTTTCACATTTATCAAACCCAAAACTCAAAACTGCTGTATTATTGATCTTAAAAAAAAAAAAAAAAAGAAAAGAAAGAAGGAAAGGACAAAGTAGAAAATCAAAGGAATAGAGACAGAGTAAAAACCCTTCCTCCCCGCCTCTGTCCTCCCCCCCCCCCCCCCC